TAAATATCCAATTACATGGTGTCTGCGTAAAAAAATAAGCACTCTTTTAATGGTCTCTTCTATGGACAGCATTATTGTTGACAAAGACTTCCCTTGTCATCATTCTCTCTCTCTCAAAAAAAAAAAAAAAAAAAGCTTTCCTTATCATCCTTGATACCTTAACTCCTACCATTCTTGATAATGGTACCTTTTCAAACCAAAAACATTTGCTAGTAAAAAATAACCCTTTATATCATCCTTTACTTTCCGGATATATACCATTTACTCACATGCATATAAATAAATTAAAAAGCCTATTAGCACTTTAAAAGTCTTCCAAAACAAGAAAAAATAAGTCTTTAAGTTTTTTTAAAAATATACAATTTGGAAAAATCCATTATGCATTACACCAAATTATATCTTTTCGGACGGTTTTTCTTTCCTTATAAAGGCGATTATAACCGCCTTTACAACATTTCCCGGTGCTTTTACCAACCGCCTCAAATCCGCTTACAATGTTGCCATCTTTATAACTTTTCAACGGTTTTTTCAACCGTTGAGAATTTTGAGTCGGTTTCTTAGAGGCGATTCAACCACCTCAAGATGTATTTTTTGAGGCGGTTATAACCGCCCCTACAATATTTGTTGGACCATGTTTTTTTTTTGTCATGTAATATTTGAGGCGGTTAAGAAACCGCCTCATGATTAGGGGCTATTAAAGCGCCTCTAATCTTATAGAGATTGTTGCAGTTGCTAGCTAAATGTATTAACTGTTCAATGCTCGCTTTGAATATGGCAAAATCGATTAGTAGTGTGTAAATCCAATCTCATTGCAATATGGGTAAAACTATTTTCAAACATACATAGATTGAAAATTAGAAAAACAAATATGTTTAAAATTAAGAATGAAACATGGAATACACTCGTCTCACACAATAGCTCTATAACAAATTAGATTACTTCAATTCTTTTCGAGGAAATGAGCCTTTACAATTTCTTGGAATTTCTATGGATTCAAAAGAACAAATTTCTAACATCAAGCAACCAATGGTAGTTAATCCATGGAAGTATTTGGGCTAATATAGCCGCAAGTAAGTACTTGCATAGCAAATTGAGAAAGAAATCATTTGGACAATTAATTAAGGAATTCAAAAATAATAATTGGAATTAGCGATGCTCAAGACAAGTGAAAGTACTCGTTTCCTCTAATTTAAGGTGTTTCTAAGTGGATTAAAGTGATTGAGAGTGGTTGATTTAGATAAGTGAAGTCTTTTTCTCTCTCTCTATTTTGCCACTAGCTCTTATCTTTTTCTTCTCTCCCTTTTCTTTCTCTCTCCTTGTTTTTCTCCATTTAAAATCTAGAAATCCATATTTTTCTATCACTTTTTGCCCCTTAAATCCAAATAGTAGGTCCGTCATATTATAGGCATTTCATACCTTAGTCCTCCAATTTTCAATCCTTGTAATTTGATCATACAATTTCATTTCATAACTTCACATTTTTCCATCAACTTGGCCCTCATCTAAGCCAATCTTAAGGTCAATTTAAGTCTCTAAGGTTTCATAATCATTCATGTGAGGACCTTGACATTTAATCTTTATAATTATACCCTTATATTTTGCAATTGCACCCCTATGACAATGCATAACCCTATCAATTAAAGATACCATTGTCTAATTCAAGCTTCCCTCATTCCATAAACCCATTTCATAAATTTTACTTATGTTTCTTTTATCCTTAATTGAACTTCAAACTTACTCACTCATTAAATAATTACTCCTTTTTTAATTAAAAAAAAAATCTACACACCATAATTATATTTTTAGGAGGGTTTTAAGTCATAGATATTACGGTTTGTTATTGGTTCTTATGGACTTAGAGAAACAAGAGCATTTTTTATGAAGCTTTTTTCATGGGTCACGATCACGGGAGGTTATTCATGCTTTTATTGGAAACATTGTGTCTAGCATGAACATGGATGCCTTCTTATCAAGGTCGAATCCTTCAAAAGTAGAGACTTTGGTTGGTTGGTTTAGACCAACTTCGGGTTGGGCCAAACTTAACATGGATGGAGCTTTGAAAGAGTCGGTTGGTATTGCTACGATAAGTGGTATCCTTCAAGATAAAAGTGATATTCGGTTGCATGGCTTTTCTTATCGGATTGAGATATGTTCAATGCTATGTACCGACTTTGAGGCATACTAGTTGGTTTGGAAATGACATGGAATTTGGGTTTTCAACATATTATCTTGGAATTTGACTCCATGGTAGCAATACATTTAATTCAAAATCTAGTTAAGCATCGAGAAAATTACAAGCAACTAGTCTCGTTCATTTGTAGAATCCTTTGACGGCTTTGGCAAGTTCATATCGATCAACCTATAGAGAAGCTATCCGGTTGGCGAGATCGACTTATGTCACATGCTTACTCCCTTTTGAGGAGAATTTTGTATATCGAGCATGCCTTATTAGGTTGTATTAGCTTCATTCTAAAGGACATCCGTAGTGTAGTCTCTCCAAGACTTTGTAACGGACATCCTATTGTTTATAGATTTTCCTCTCCTTGTATCAAAAAAAAAAAAAAAAAAAAGAGAAAGAGAAAGAGAAAGGGATAAGCCGAGTTAAAAGTAAAATTTCTTTTCATTTTTTTTGAAACGTAGATTTTATTTTATTTTATTTGTAAATGTTTTTTCTTAAATTAACATAGGAAAGAATAAAACACCTTTAACATCTTCTTAATGATTCAACTAGGTTGACCATTACAAATAACGAAAAATAAGAGATTTGGATAAATTTTACCTAAAAACGATATTTTGGGATTCAATTATACAAATTAATAATAAAATTTTGAAATTGTCAAATTACAATAGAATATGGGCGAGTTTTTTTCATTAAACCTATTATCAATTCTCTCCTACATACAACAAAAAAATCTCGTAATATCCTAGTTTGGTGAAACCCATCTCTTCATAAGATAACTTAACTATCGTCCATATGATCCTTCAAATACAACGGGATGAATAATTTCATAGTTACTCGTAATTAAACCAACGTCCATGGAGCCATCTTCATCGCCACGATCATCCTAGGTTTGAATTCACATCGTCAACAATTATATTTTATAATCATCACTTTGTCACGAGGAATTTGGATTTATTCGTACTTCATATATGACGAGAAAAAGTCGAGGATGCGGTTAGGGGTGATCATTTGGTTAAACGGTTCGAGTTTTGTATGATTCGATTCAATTTTCGGTTAACCGAATTAAGAAATAAAAACCAAAATCGAACCAAAATAAATTTGATAAATTCGGTTTGTAACCGAATTATTTCGTTTTGGTTTTGAAATATTTCGATTTTATACTAGCACTTAGTCCACTAGCTAATGAAGTAACATCTTGTTATCAATTAATCCTTTTTATAGACAATCACAAAGCCATTTAAGATTTTAACTAGGCTTTAATGAAAACCGATCCAAGTGTAATTGATTTTATTATTCAAAGACAATGTATCCCAATTAATTACACTCGTCACTTTCTTTTCTTACCCCAACGGTCCTCAAAATTTCTTCCCATCTGCGTATTTCGGTTTCAGCAAGAATGAAGATTGAAAAGTTAAGGATTTAGAAATTAGAAAATTTTTTACTATTTATTTCGGTTTTCGATCGAAACCGAAATTTTTTTCTAAAAATCGAATCGAACCGAAATAATTTTGGTTTTTTCGGTTCGGTTTTATAATGTATAATTTTACATTTAAAATCGAATCAAATTTCATAATTTGATTGGGTTTTATTCGATTTTCGGTTAGCACGAACCGTTTGCTCACCCCTAGATGCGACTAACTTCAAAATGTTTCGAAAACGATGCATTCTCAAAAAATTGTGTGACGATAGATAGACACAATCATGCGTATATTTTTGTAAGAAATAATTAAACCAAATCATAAATTAGTTATAATCTGAAAATAATCTCGTCACCAAATTTGGAATTATCCGTACTTCATATATAACAGATAGTGTGGATGATACACCTAACTTCAAAATGCTTTATTAGCGATGCACGCATTCTAAAAAAAAATTTCGTAAAAAGATCATTAAACCACAAAATCCGGCTCTCTCTCGATTCACTTACTATCTATATAATATGAACAAAGACCATTCATTGTACGTAATCAAATAAAGGATCCTGTATAATCCAGCTCCAACCATGCTGTATCCAACACACAAGCGAGCATGAATTTTGTTTAAATTGCAGTGCCAAACTTTCTTCTCTGTGACGCTTAATTTGGGTACTTCCTCACTTCATTGCACTTATTTCTTTTCTGAAAATTAAGCTTTTGCTTCTTTTCTCTTTTCTGAAAATTAAGCTTTTGCTTCTGTTCTTCGGGGTTAAAGATTCGGTAGCAACAACAGCATAAAAAAATCTTAATATCTACTACATAAACTGAAAGTAGTTTTCATCACTACCACTAGCTTTGATAATCCGTATCTTTAATTTTTAATTGTAGCTTAATTAGGCACTTTTGTTTTTTATATCATCATCTTCTCTGTTTAATTGCTTTTGGAAGTTTCAAATTACTTCATTTAATTTGTAGTAAAATTGCTGTTAAACAAGTTGCCTGGTTATCATAGTGATCTTACTTGAGAGGTTTAATTTTTATCTCAGTTTTTTTCTTTTTCCTGAACTAATTAATGAATATAAAGAATTATTAATTAGGCAAAGTGCAAAACATGCACCAAAAATATTGTTTGTTAATTCATATAGACAGCTTGAAAGAAAGAATATATACTAGATGTAATTTGTAGGAAAAATTAAAACAATTCAGATTTACCCATAAGTTCAAACGAAATAAGCATACATATATATATATAATTAACATTTTCAATCCTTCTCACTTGTTTTCTAATTTTTATTTTTCAATTTGATGCATGATAGAGGTATGCTAAAAAAAAAATCAGTGATCGTATTAATTAATGTATTCTGCAATGTTTTAGGTTCAGTACTATAGCATTTGGTGGAAGGATGAAGTCCTGCGATTGCGTTGGTCAAACACAATGGCTCCATGAAGAACTTGTCAAATATCAGTTTATATCGGACATTTTAATTTCATTGGCATATTTCTGTATTCCAATCGAGATTATATATTTTATGCGAAAATCAGCACTGCTCCCATACAAATGGGTGCTTCTGATGTTTGGTGCTTTTATTGTTCTCTGTGGAGCAACCCATTTCGTAAATTTATGGACCTTCTGGAAGCATTCAAAAACTGTTGATGTGGTGTTGACTGTGGCAAAAATCTCTTGTGCTGTTGTATCATGTGCAACGGCGATGATGCTCCTCCACATTATTCCTCATCTACAGATCAATGTTAGGGAATTATTCCTGAAGAATCATGCTGGAGAGCTTGATCGCCTGAGTGTTAAAGCAGGAGAATTTTTTCTCAACAAGTCTGAGAAACTGGATAAGGAGATGGGGATTTGATGCTGCAAAGCAATATGTGCTTGTCATGTTGTAGTTGTAATAACCAAGTGTGACAGTGCGTCCTAAGGTGTGCGTGGTTATGCAAATTGCACCCAATAAATAAATATTCCAATTTCTCTCATATGCTCTCTTTTACATCCCCTCTCATCCATGTTTTGTTTGCAATATAATAATAATAATAATCTCTTTTACTACAGATAAAGAAAACCTCTCTTTACTATAAATTTAAAATTATTGATTTTTTCCAAAATATTTCGGTGACGAGCGATGTATTGGCATCATATTATTACTTAATTCTCAAGTTTGCTTTTATTCTCAAAAAGAAAAAAAAAATGCTTTTAACTCTTCATTTGATAAAATGAAAAAGACATTCATAGGCATACTAATCACGTTCTTTTTGCTATATTCGGGCAACATTTCAATTCAGATAAATTATTTATTTATTTTGAATGACGAGACAATTGTTGAGCATTCTTGCATGTGCGGGACAATGACAAGTGTTGCGCATTGTACCGCTCATATTATTATTTGTTTTTTTTCTTTAAAAAAATAAAAAAAATTCTATATAAGAATATCATTTTCACTTGTAAAAATCATAACTTAATATCTATTATATTCCAGGGCCTTTTAGGCTTTTAGCTGTGGAAGTCCTTTTTCCGGATTACGTCTCTACTGTGTCGATGAAATTTTACTAAACAATTTTTGGACAAACCCACAAAATGCACCAGAGGCAAAGTATATGTGCAAATATATTTACTTGACAACTAAGATTCATGAGTATTTTTATGTGTAAACACCTATTATATATCAATAGCTTTTAGATTTAGTGATAATGATTTTTTATATATATATACTTCCAACAGATTATGATTTCAAATGATACTTTTTTAAAATATTTGAATTTTTAAAAAAATTCATTACAAAAAAAAAGAAGAAGAAGAAGTTATAATAGCTTTTTATATTTATAATTGTTGTCAACTCAATCTATTGTAATAATACAATTTTTTTCTTGCTCTGTTAACTATTAACTATTAAAGTTAGCCTTTTAACGTTCAACAATTGATGCCAAGTACATAGTTTTATCTATGATTAAAAAACACTTATTATATGCATATATACTAATTAATACATTTTTTACACCATTAAAGAGAGTGGTATTATGCATTAAAATCTAAATAAGTAAAAAAAGTAATATTATTTGTATTACTATATATATATATATATATATTCTCCAAAACTAATAATACAATTAAAACTAAAGAAAGAGATACGTCTTAACAAATTTTTAATCTTTCTTTTTGTGTAAAGCTAATAAGTTGGGCATGAGTTAATGGTATGGAATTTGGTCATCAAATTTTTTTTTTAATTTTGTTTCTTACTTTTTTTCCCTAAAAGAGGAGGAAGAACATTTAAGAATTTTTCAACATTCTTATAAAGGATGGGCTTTCATTTTCATCTAAACGAGATAGATTTTAGGATTTTAAGTTGTCATTGAGGTGTACGAAGGTAATCCCATCATCTTTTGAGTTGGCTAGTGAAATCTAATATAAGTAAATCTACAATGGGTTGGTGAGAAATGAAAGATTGTGTTTTATAAGTATTAGTGACCATGGTCATTTGTTGTAAAAAAAAAAAAAAAAACTAAGGATATTGTATTTAGACATTCCATCTATATTCCATTCATAGACAAAAATAGCATTGTAACGGTGTTGTGCAAGGATGTTTGGTTTTTACTCGATGTCAATAATTGGTGTAGTACTTCTTGGATAATAAGATCTTTAGGTATTTTTCCAATATAGTTTATTTATTTCTAAAGAAAGAGTTTCTTTTCGGAAGGCATTTTCATCCTCTCGATGTGGTTTCAAGGGCATTTATAGTGTGAGAACCTTGAGGAGTTTCGGTGCGAGTACGGCTGATTGTGTTTCTTCTATTTTATTTTGTTGTTGTGTGGCTTAGAGAAATTCTAATTTATTGGCCTTTTGGAATTGATTTTTACTAGTCTTATAAACCTCGTAGGGTTTGAAGATGGGATTTCTAACTTTTGGTTCATGGGGTTTCGTGTAATCATAGTTGGGTTTTGGACACTTTTTTCAATTCTAGTAAGTGTATTACCTATGGTACGAAGATAGTTATTGGTAAAATTATTTTTTTCCATAATATTTTTAATATATTTGGGAGATACATGATTAGTTTCTTCACGGGCTTTAAAAGGTGTTGCAAGGATTGTGTGTTAGTGATGTGAGAGTTTTACCCCGTGTTTGGATAGGGAGGAAAGTGAAGGAGAGGAAAGAAAATAGGGAGGAAAGAAATTTTTTCTTCGTTTGTTTTTAGGGAGGAAAGCAATGGAAAGAAAAAATAATAATAAAAAATCTATAAATGGTAGGACCCATTTTCCTCCTAAAATTGGGAGGAAACGGGGAGAAAAGCGTGAGACATATCTTCTTCTTCTTTTTTTCACAATGTTGCCCTTGCCTCAGCTCGTCCCTCTCATTTTCTACTCTCCACATCATCTTCTCTTCTTAAACCCACCTTGCTTAATTATGCAGTGCTCTTGTTAATGGGAGTATTGATTTTGCTACCATGCTTTTTGTTGTGTAGAACTAAGCTCGTAGGGTGGCGTTTGTTCTTAAGATCATCGGTGATTATGACTTCTACCTTTTGAATTTGCAAGGGAAGAGTAGTCGTTTTCGGTGTGGTGGTGGTGTCTACTTTCACATATTGCGGACGAGGGTAGAAGAAATCAGTAGGGAAGAAGTTATATTGAAGGCTAGCCATGGAAATAATTAAGCTTTCGAGAATCAAGAGATGATCGTTAAGAGTACCACCAAAGAAAATGAAAAGGTGTCTAAGTGAGATTCTCTTTTTGGTTGAGCGCTTTGTTTTCTTGGTTGAAGGACGGGTGCTTCACACTTCATCTTTATAGCAATGGAGAAAGGTGTGTTTTCCACTTAAAGAAACGTGGGTGTTTTTTATTTTTATTTTTTTTCCTCTCTGGTTGTTAAGAAGCCCGGGTGCTTTTTATTTATTTTTTACTCTTTGGGTTGGTTCTTGGTGTAGTTTTTAACTATTAAAATTTACATTCTCACAGCCCATTTGGTTTCTATCATGCCGTGTGTCCTTTTTTATTAACTAACCAATACTCCTTCGGCTTTAGAACAATTGTCTTTTTTATTTTTTCATCTAAATTAAAAAAAATTATTAATTATTATGTTATATCAAGTTTATATATTTTTTTTAAATTTCATTTATTATTATTATTAATCTAAAATTTAATTAAGAGTATTTTTTAAAAAATATATCACTTAAAATTTTGCAATTATCCATAAGTATTTAAATATAGAAATAATATCAATAGGGGTATAATAGTAAATATATAATAATACATTTTCTTTCCTTTCTCTTTTTACAATTATCCAAACAAGGAAAATATACTTTATTTCTTTTCATTTCTACTTTTATCCAAACAACAAGTGAAAAATAGTTTTCTTTCCTCTCTTTTCTTTCCTCCCAAGAGGAAATATCCAAACAAGGGGTTAATTGTCTTAAAGGTGGGCATTTAGACTTTAATTGTTTGCTTTGGGTTGTTTTCCAAATAGTCATTTTATTGTTGATTTGGATAGTGTGAAAGAAGTAATGAATGTTATTTTTTTTGAAGTATAAATCTTAAACCAATCAACAAAATAGAATGTGGATGCGATAATTTTGGAAAAAATCATAAAAACATTATTGGATATGTTGTTTTTGTTAATAAAATGTTTAAAAAACCATATTCATTTCTTTCCATTGCTAAGGGAATAAAAATCTTTATGTAAGTAAGTTTTATCCAATTCAAAATCTTTTTCTAACACATTTAATTTTGCATTGATGTTTTTGGTTATAGAAGAAAATGATGAAGATATGGGTGGTGAAGGGCTTTTTCACATTTTGTTGTATAAATAGTTCGGGAATAGTATTTGTATAATTAACATTTTATAGTATGGTTGGAATTTCAGTAGTAGAGTATCTATATGGATGATAGAGAGGGTATATTATAGAAGGTAATTTTGAAATTCTACCTAGGTCAATGGTGTCTAAAGAAAAAGCATTGTCTAAACATCAAGAGCTTGTGGATTTTATTTTAATTTTATGTTTGGGCTCGTCGGAGATGGTGGTTCGAGTCTTATGGCTCTTTCAAGGATCCATTCTTCTAGCAAAGAAGTGTCTCTCCATTTTATGGGTTGTAGAATCACAGCATTGGATTTGGTTAGATTAATTTGTAAAAGCATGGTTTCACCATTCCGGCTTTGGATGAGAGCTTTAGAAGCGAAGGTCGTAACCATAGTTTTGTAGTGGAGTTTGTAAACTTTAGCAACTAATATAGATCCTATATTCATCTTGTAGTTATGAGTTTTGATTTGTAAAACTAGACAATCAAGAATATTTTTGTCTTTTAAAGAAATTGTTAAATTTGGATAACAATCAAAAGAAATTGAACCATTATAAAGACTAAATTCTACGTAACTAAGTAAAGAATCTTGAAAATCATAGAATTATGCATCCCTAAGAATAGTAAGGATTGATGTATTTAATCCTTCTTTTGTAAAGGGGTTTATACCTACTTGAACTAAACCAATGTAAATGTAATTGCATTTATTTTCTTTATGTTTGTTAAGGGATGTTTGCGAGAAAAAGTTTAATTGTTTAAAAAGGTTTTGTTAAATATATCTCTTTCGTCGGTTTTAATTGTATAATCTATTTATGAGAATAAATTAAATTTGTTTTGTTTGTAAATTTGGTCTCTTTGTTCTTAAGGATTTTATCATTAATTATTTTTTCAAAATTTTCAATTATTAATTTTTCATTATTCACTATCTTTGCTTTCATCACAGAGATACAAGAATTGGAGACAGATTGAGTTTTAGAAAATAACTAGCCGATTGCTCGCGCTACGCAGACGGATTTGATAGAATAAAATCATTTAAAAAAATTTTAATTATAATTTCTTATTTAATTAATTTTTTCTAATTTTTTTAATATAAATTTTTTTTCTAAAAAAACATAAATCATTCTTCTTTATGAATTTATTTTAACTAAAATATTAATAAAGAATTAAAAAAATATAAAATATATTTTTCATAATATTGTATTTCAAAAAATAAAGTTATAATTAATAGATAAACTTTTATAAAAACTAACAAATGGGGAAATGTTTTTTTATTAGTTGTCGATGAGAAGATTAATTTTTGAAATTATCCGCGCAATGCTACGGTAAGATAGAATAAAATTATTTTAAAATTTTATAATTTTTTTCATTAATTTTTTATTTAATTATTACTATTTTTTTCATAAAATTTCTATTTGAAAAAATATGATTTATTTTTCTTTATTTAGGGATTTCTAAATAAAAATTGATAATATATAATTTAAACCTAAAATATTAATTAAGAATTTAAACATAAATACTTTAAAAATATATTGTTTTATAAGTATATATCCAAAAAATAAGGTTACAATTAATATATAAACTTACATAAAAATTAATTAATAAAAAAATAAAATTTTATTCTTATTTAATGTAGATGAGAAGATTATTTTTTTAAAGTATATACATATGATCTATATATATTATATAATCGTCGGTTTGTGTGGTAAAAAAGCAACGATTGATTTTTAAAAATTTTAAGACCCAATTAAATAAAAAAAGAGCATAAATTGATGAAAAAAATCAAAGAAAATGCATATAGTGCATCGACTAGGGATTAAAATTTTTATTTTAAAATTTCAAGGATCAAAATGAAATAATTTGAAAATTATAAAAAAAACCTAATAAAAAAAATACTAAGAGTGAAAATTACCAAAAAAAAAAAAAAAAAAAACCTAAGAGTGAATAGTACATTGTGAGGGTAAAAAAAAAAAAGAGTGAATAGTACCAAAAAGTTTTAGGATAGTAAACTTCATTTAGTTTTAGTATAGCATGGATAAAAATAAAAAAATGATAAAACTTTAATAACTAAAACAAAAATATATCACAAAATAAGAATTAAAAAAACATAAATTTTTACTAAAAGCTAATAAAAAAATTATTATAGGGATAAAAATAAAATATAATAAAAATTTAATGACTAAAATAAAAACATATCACAAAATAAGAAAAAAAAAAAGAACATAAAGTTTTACTAAAAGCGAAGAAAAAAATATTTATTATAGGGATAAAAATTAAATATAATAAAATTTTAATATTTATTATAGGGACGAAAATCAAATATAATAAATTTTTAACGACCAAAATGAAAAAAAAATTACAAAATAGGGACATATATATATATATATATATATATATATATATATATATATATATATATATATATATATATATATATATATTTAAAAGCTTTGTTAAGCAATCGAAAAAAAGAGAGGCAAACAATGAATGAATAGGGAAAGTGCTGCAATACTTTCCCGTTTTCTTTTAGTATTTCTTATAATACAATTTCGGGTATCAAAACGAAATAATTTAAAAATTACAAAAAAAAAAAAAACCTAAGAAAAAAACAGTAAGAGTGAAAATTACCAAAAAAAAAAAAAAAAGAGTGAATAGTACATTGTGAGGGTAAAAAAAAAAAAAACCAAAAAAAGGAGTGAATAATACAAAAAAAAAAAAGTTTAGGATAGTAAACTTTATTTAGTTTTAGTATAGTAAGAATAAAAACCAAATATGATAAAACTTTGATAATTAAAATAAAAACATATAACAAAATAAGAATGAAGAAGAACATAAATTTTTACTAAAAACCAAGAAAAAAATTTATTATAGGGACAAAAATTAAATATAATAAAATATTTAGTTTTAGGTAGTAAGGATAAAAACAAAAATATTAAACTTTAATGATTAAAATAAAAATATATCATAAGATAAGAATAAAAAAAGAACATAAATTTTTACTAAAAGCCAAGAAATTTTTTTTATAGGGATAAAAATTAAATATAATAAAATTTTAATGATTACAATAAAAAAATATTATAAAACAGGGACAAAAATTAAAAATTTCCTAAAACCTTGGCTAAGCAACCCAAAAAAAAATAAAAGATGAAAGGCAAACAGTGAATGAACATGAACAGGGAAAATAAAATGAAAGCATAAATTTATAGCAAAAGTGCACCCGCAGGAGTTGAACCCGAGCCTATTGCTTGGAAAGTAATATCCTTAACCGATGGACTGCAAATGCTCTCTTATAGTTGAATTACAATATTTATATATATATATAAATAAAACGTTGTGAACAGGGAAATGAACCCACATCTTTTAGAGTCTTAAGTAATATGGTTGGAGTTTTATATTAAATTTTGAATTGAGTTTGACAATATTTATATTATATTGATTGTTGGATGAATAAGAATTCTGAAAATTCGTTCAGATCAGTTTACGTGGCTATTCATTAAGTTCGGATCAAATTGTCGTGCCTGTCCCAGCCCAAACCGGCAGAAATACGAACCCAACCTGGTCCGAAAATCTAACCCGATCCCTGCTCAAGTGGGACCAATATCAGTATTCCTCCAAACATCAACGGTGCACATTGGAGATAAAAACACTGTAGCGTACTCAAAGAAACACCCAAGCCAAGCCATCTTGTTTGACCAAAATCTCTAGCATCGCCGTCTGTTGCACCAGAAGAACGTTCTCTTTCGCGTCGCTTGGTTTCAATTCGCAGAGAGAGAGAGAGAGAGAGAGAGAGAGAGAGAAAGAGAGATGGGAGGAGCACAAGCTTTGAAGAGAATACCTCGCATCAAATTCCCTCAAAGACACTCCTCCAAATCCTCAGGTTGACATTTAACACGGCTTTTGTTAATCTTTGATTTCACCTTCAACGCAGTTTTTGTTACTGTTTTTTGTTTCTTTTTAATGACCCCTCCAATTTTTTCACTCTAGTTAAGATTTTTTGTGAGAGATTCGGCAAGATTTTGACGATGATTAGGGCCTTCTTTGGTTTTTTACTTTATGTTTAAATCGAATGATTGTGATTTGTTTTCGTTAAAATTAGCATTACTCGAGAGCCATGCTATTTGCGATCATAAACTATAAAGCAGCTGTATGTAATTTTCATTAGTTATTAAATGCTTTAGGAAATATAAACTATTTCCGAAGGCTGCTAGATGCTGAGTGTTGAGGTAATTGATTTGTAGGTAACGGGTCACAGCCGCAAGAAGCATTGAGAGCTGGAAATGCTGATCAAGATTTCTTTTCTAGCATGAAGGTTTCAACATCTGTTGGAGGGAAAGCTTCTCTTCAGCCAAAACGAACACCGATTTCGAATGAGGAGATTGAGGCGATCTTGGTATGTTAAAAGATAGTTTACGTGTTCAATTGTGATAGTTGTTCTACAATTATGCATAACTCACCGGCATTCTCAGTATGGTGATCTGATTACAAATGAAGCATTGAAATGTGCTACCACTGGGTGGTATTTATTTAGTTTTAGTGGTAAATAGGAGATAGAGATTGCTAGTCTTGGTGGGATGCTACCGTTTGGTGTTAACTCTAATTTCATTGAAGTGCACGAAGTGGCAAATGGAATTGGAATGTGGTGTGTTTGTTATTATGTGTCGAGTAGTAAATTATTTGTCATAGAAATCAGGCTTGCTATTGCTTTCGAAGGAGATATTTGCTTCTGATATCTGAAGCCTTTTGATTTTTCTTTTTTCTTTTTTTAATCTCCTAAGCTTGGTTATGAAGGCATTATTTTGCAAGGGTAATGTTAGATTTTGTATTCTGATTGCATGTTTTCAACTCGCATTTGACGTTACGAGGCAGAAATTGATTGTTTCATGTATATAGATTCTCTTCTGGGTTGTTAGACAAATGAAGTGATCCAACAGCTAGGCAGTCATGCATAGCATTATCGAAGAAGACATACATAATTCACTTCACAAGCATGGTACTTTTTTGTTTCTAATTCTTCAGTTGCAGGTTACTAATTTATCTCTTTATCCAATCCTTTGGCAGTTGGGTGGATGCATCTGAGCTTCTCATGGAGCTTTGAAAAGGGTGCCGGACATTCTTTTTTGCTGTTCTTTAAGTTTTCAAACTTAAAGAGTTCATTTCTACCAATAGCAATACTTCGTATGGAGTTCATTGAAGCACAGTCACTGATTGAATTGTCAATGTAATTGGAGTTTTCTTGGCTCACATATACTCTATTTATCCTTGATAGTGTGACATTTTTACAAAATGGAATTTATTGCTCTGTCTAAACTGGAACTGGTAAATACATAAAGCATATGGGCAAACATTATGTGCAACAGGAAAATGCAACTAGTTAGATGATTTTGATTCGGTTTCATAGAACTCTTCAATTATTGCGGACCTGGGATTTTTCCCTGGAGGGCCCTTCTCCCTACGTTCCAGCTCTTCCAGGCGGAAAGTTACTAGCCGATCCCAGTTTCCTCCTTCAAAGATAACTCCAGCTTTTCCATCAGTGATCCGCTGAACAATGCCAGTGTACTTGTAAAATGGGTTATTTGGGTTCTTGACAATGGCAATCATACCAGGCAACAATAGTGGTAATTCTGGAGGTTTTGGCTTGCTTGCGATTGTAAGTTTGGCAACTGATTGTTTCTTTGGAGGTGGGTTTTCTTCAACGAATTTTTGCAATCCCTTCTCTCCACCAGGAAAGCCCCCTGTTAAGCCCATCAGCTCCTTTTCAAAACCATCTTCCGGAACACTTGGTGTTTCCAAGTTACCTGAATTTCCTTCTTTATCAGCAGCTGCTGAAACTTTTTCTTCAATGTTCCTCTTCAGCTCTTGTTGCGCACCTTTTTCTCCATTACAGAGCCCTCTGCCTTCAATGTTCCTCTTCAGCTCTTGTTGCACACCTTTTTCTCCATTACAGAGCCCTCTGCCTCCTAAGATCTCGAAAAGGTCGAATTTGGCACATGTTTTTTGTTTCAGCCTATGCTCTTTGGGGATCAAAGAGTAGGGTTTATGAGGATGATTGGAGAAGTTGTTTTGCCCAAGAAAGTTGGACCTAAGTAGAGTACTTTGAAGGTTGATAGAAGAAGCCATAGTTTGGCATTACAGAAGCCAGCCTAGTAGAAAGAAAGGAGAAAGGCCTTCTCTTCTAATCTTGGCCACAAATTTTGTTTTGCTGGATAGTCCTATCCCTTAAGGTTTGCCACTAATATATTTCTGTCACTGTTGTATTGTGTGACCGACTGCCTTTCTGCATTTGACATCTTGATACGGACCCCAATTGATAATATCCTATCTAAAAAGATAGATTGTTGATCATCTTCAGGAATTATTTTAATTATAATTATAGTGACCTCAAACTTTACGTCAAATTATATATCACTGATTCATGAGCCACGTGCATGCTATCTTCTATTGAAACAACTAGATAGACATGTGATTTTGAGTAGTTCTGATTTTACCTGCTCTTAATTTCGTTACTTCTTATGTATATATTTTTTTTTAATTTTTTTTTGGATAGCATAAAAAAAACTTTATTATTTCTTAGTATGACTATATATAGGGAAATTAATGGGCTATCCCTTCAGATATTTTGATTTTTGGGCACTGTAAGAGCCTTTGCCTAAGACGCGAATAAATTATAAATTAGTCTTTTTAGTTTTGAGAAATAAATAAATAAATTTTTTTAAAAAATTTAATTATTTAGTTATTTTTTTGTGCTTTTTAAATTTATTTTTTATATAAAAAAATTGATATTATAAAAAATTGATAAAAATTATAGCATTTTTTTAAATAAACAATATCAAATTAAGCATAATCACAAAGATTTACGGACTAAATTAGTTTTTAAAAGAATAGAGATTGATAATTCGTTTTTCAAAACTATAGGAAGTAATGTATAATTTACACGGCCTAAGGCTTACAAACAATTTTTTTATTGATTTGATTGAAAGCAATAACAAAAACGGAACCCTCTCATCCCAGTTTTCCTCCATTTGGCATTTACACACCTCCAAATTCATCGATTTCTCGTGATTCAATGAAACAACAGTCTATTCTCGAGAGGATAAGGACATGAAGGAGAGACAAAAAGGCGAGAGATGATGCAGAGACGGCGCGTCAAGCAAACAGGAAGAGGAAACGATGTGAAGTTAAGTAAGGTAGCTAAAAGAAATATTAGTTGCTAATTGTAATTTATGTTGTGTTATTAATTGAATAGAGCAGGATTCATAGCTAATAAATTTAACAAAATAACGATATTGAACACACAAATTTTACGTAAAAAACCTTTAAAAAAATTAAGAAAAAAAACTATAAATAAAATAAAAAGACTTTACTATGATAAATAATAGAAGTTACAACCTCTCTCTATAGTATAAGGAGAAAACAATGACCTTCTCTCTTGAACAAGGAAAAACACTATATTATGTGGGAACTAATCGCTCTTGATAAAGGATTTGGGGACCGAACTAGGGGCTTTTTATTCAATTTTTTTTTCTTTTTTGTGGATAGATGAAATAAGGTAAGGATGCCAATTTATAGGCCTCCCTCCTCACATTGCATTGCCTCTATTAAGGCGATGCAATGTCGAGTCACAGACTTGCAAAATGCAAGCTGTCGTGACGTAACTTGCATTTCTAAGTTATCCATAGAATCGTGGACAACTTGATTACTCGTCTTTTTTTTAATTTTTTCCCTTCATTTCAGCAATCTCTCACTTGAAGATTTGATTGAGAGTTAATCATGTTTTCACACTCGTTCTTTTTATCTTGTCATTCCCATGTTGCTTATGTCTTCATTAGGTCGTAAGAGGATCGACATCAAATAAATTTGTCGAATTGATTGCCTCGTCAAAAATTCTACTAAGTTGTCTTCGTATGAATTTTTTGTACATCCATAATTCTTTTTTCCACTTTTTTACAAACGAAGTGATACTAAACTTGTATGTGCTTTGTCTTTGAATGAAAGGTTTGATTCCTTACAAGATGTAAGGCACTCGACTATCACAAAACACAAAAATCTTTTCTTGTTTGTGTCGAAATTCCTTCTATAACATTTTCAATCGATCGCTTCTTTACTTGCTTGTATAGCTGCTACATATTCCGTTTTTGTTGTTGATGTAGCCACAATCGATTGCAGCTTTGAAACCCAACTTATAGCTCTGCTGGTAAGCGTAAACACATAATCTATGGTTGATTTGCTTTTATCTAGATCACTTGTATAATCGAAATTAACATAACTACTGATAATAAATTCTAATCCTCCATAACATAATCCAATATCCGAGGTCCCTAAATGTATCTTAGGATCCTCTTTATCACATTCCCATTCTCTCTACCAGGATTCACGATGTACCAACTAACCATTCGCAATATCTAGCCTTGTACAAATCATAGCGAACATTAAACTTTCCACCATTGATGCATACGGTACTTGAGACATCTTCATCCTCTCTTTTTCACTCGCGAGGACTCATATTGGAGGATAACTTGAAATTAATCGAAAGTGGGGTAGAAATTATCTTACAATCTTACATGTTGAAACGTCGTAGGATCTTCTTCAAATAATTCTTTTCGTGAAAGCTAAATCTTCTTATTATTTTTTTCTCGATGAATTTGCATCCCTAAAATCTTATTTCGCTGATCCTAAATCTTTCATTTCAAGTTCCCTAGCCAATTGTGCCTTTAATTTTATAATACGATCTTTGTTGGAGCCTACTACCAACATGTCGTCGACATACAACAACAAAATAAAAAAATATTTTTCACCAAACCTCTTGAAATATGCATAAGTGTCTGCAATAAGGTTGTTGTATCCAAGACTTATGATGAATGAATCAAATCTTTAGTATCGACAACTTGACGCTTGTTGTAGATTGTACGGAGATTTGGTCAACCTATAAACCAAGTTCTCTTTTCTCGTTTTCTTTAAAACCTTTTGGTTTGAGCATATCTTTTCTTCAAGATCTTTATGAAGAAAAACTATTTTCACATCTAGCTACTTTAGACATAAGTCGAATATAGCATAAATTGCTAGGACTACTCGGATCGTTGTAAGTCAAACCAAAGGTGAGAATATTTTATTAAAGTCAATTCCTTCTTTCTAAGCATATCCTTTTACCATCAATCTTACACGATATCGCTTCACTTGATCATTCTTATTCTACTTGATCTTATAGACCGATTGGTTGCCAATGGCCTTTCTTTCTTGTGGTAGCAAGTATAAGTTTCATGTCTTATTCTTATGAAGAGCTTCCATTTCTTCTCATATTACTGTCATCCATTGATCCGCATTTGAGTAATTCAGCACCTTTTGGAGCATTAATGGTTCTCCTTCCTCGGTTAAAAGGCATTATGCAACATTACTCTCCATAACATAGTTAGAATGCTAATCTGGCTACCATTTTGTGCAATTTGATCAACGAGCTTCGAAACTTTAAACTTAACTAGTTCTTATACCTTGTGCTTTAGTGCTGCTTCGGAAGAATCATTTTGTTCAACTTCTCTTTCTATCCGTACTATTGTAGTCTTTGAAGTACTATCATCTTGTTCTTTTCTTTATAGATCTTTTTTAAAAAAGATGACTCGCATGCCGACAATAACCTTGTAGGCGAGTGGGATCTCATAAACGATACCCATTCACTCCATTAGCATACCTCAAAAATAAGCATTTCTTGAATTTCGATCTAGCTTTGTGATTTCTTGGGTATTGTACATCACGTATACAAGACTTCTAAATATATGAAAGTATGAATATCAAGCTGTCTTATCAATCCACATCTCAATCGATGTCTTTAACTCAATTACGATTGATGGGGCTTGATTCACAACATAACGAGCGGTATTGATTGCTTCGCCTGAACACCTTTCCTAATCCTACAGATCCTCAAAATTGCTCTTGTTTTTTATAATAAGGTTTTGTTCATCCGTTCGCCACTCTATTTTATCGAGGAGTGTATGTCATCGTGAATTATCTTTTGATACCTTCTTATTTACGAATATATCAAATTCATCATCGGTGTATTCTCCTTCATTATCCGTTCTCGGACACTTGATCTTTTTACCATAATCAAGTTCAAATCGTGCTTTATAAACTTTGAAGACCGAAAGCACATCCGACTTCCTCTTGATTGGATATACCTAACATCTCTTAGAATAATCATCAATGAAGGACACAAAGTGCTTCGCTCCTCCTAAAGATAAAACTAATGCTTGTCATACATTAGAGTGAACCAATTCTAGAATAGCCTTGCTACAAGAATTTGATATGAAAAACTTTAAATGATGTTGCATACTTGTAATACAATGCTCGCAAAAAGGTAATGATACCTTTGTGAGGCTCGAAAATAGCTTTTGCTCGATAAGGATTTTCATTTATTATTCAAACACATGTCCACGTTTTTAATATCACATCATTATAGATCTTTCATTTGAACTACTTGAAGTAATCGATGCTTCTACTTCCACCAAAGTCTCTTCCTATAACATATACAAGTTAGCACCTATCTTTTTTCCCTTCATAAGTATAAGTGCACCTCGGACGATCTTTATGGTTTTGTTTTTTTATCTTAATCTTGCACTCAAGATCATCCAAATGTCTCAAAGATAATAGGTTTTTCTTCGGGCCTTTCACACATCGCGTTTCTTGAATAAGACGGATCGTACTATCATACATCTTCGACTTGATGGTTTCAACTCTAATGGCCTTTAAAGCATGATCATTACAATCGTATACAACTTCTCCTAATGTAGGTTCATAATGATTGAACCATTCTCTTTTGGAGGTCATATGAAACATAGCTTCGAGTCGAATATCCATATATTAGTAAATCTTTTTTTATCAACATACGTTATTCGTCGCTTTACAATATAGAGTATTCTTATCATTTGAATTGCTTGTCATGTTTTCTTGAGGATTGAAATTTTTTAAACTCCAACAATCTTTTTATAGGTGACCTTTCTTACCACATTTGTAGCATTTAAAATTCTTCTTATCTTTTGATTTTAACCTACCATGATTATGGCTCCCACTCGAGCCATGTTTTGTTGATCTTCCTCTTATCACCATTAAGGCCTCCACTTGTTATAACTTGTCCGTCTATCTTTCTTGTTCTTGCATCGATTTTCTTCTTCTAGAATAGCAACCGTAACATCATCGAAAGCTAAATAATCTGTAAGGATATTATTTTTTACGTTGATGATAAGTTGATCATAAGAATCGGGTAAAATTTGAAGTAGAACTTCAACATATTCACTTTGATTTATTTTATAACCTAACGAAATGAGTTGAAAAAAATAGAGAATTCAAAGTATTGACATACTCTGTCATCAAAGTAGATTCCGACATATGAAGAGTATAGAGTTTTCTCTTAAGGAAAATTTTGTTATGGAGTGATTTGGCCTCATACAACTTAGTGAGATGATCCTATATCTCTTTTGTTGTTTTTTTCTCCTCTATGTTCGACAACACCCTAACTACTAATGCCGGATGAAGATTTACAATAGCATTTCCATCAATCTCATTTTACTTATCGTTATCTCGTGTATTCTTCTAGCCTTTCGTTAATGGTCACTAGGTCATTATCTTTTTTCAAGATAGCCTTTATCTTCAATTTCCACAATGAGAAATTACTCCCTTTAAATTTTTCAATTTCAAACTTTGTCACCAATGCTTCTATCACGGACTCTTTATTGTTATAGTAACATACCTCTACGGGATCTAAAACCACGTTTTGATACCACTTGTTGTGTTACTAATCAAATAAAGTAAGATTTGTAACTAATAAATTTGATAAAGCAACGATATTGAACACCCAGATTTTATGTGAAAAACCCTTAAACAAATTAAAAGAAAAAACTACGAACAAGATAGAAAGACTTCACTATGAGAAATAATATAATTATAACCTCTTTATATTACAAGGAGAAAACAATAACTTTCTATCTTGAAATAGGAAAAACACTCTCTTTATTCTTTAGGAACTAATCTCTCTTAATAGAGGATTTGGGGATTGAATTAAGGGTTTTTACTTTAATTGTTTTTTCTTTTTGTGGATGGATGAAATAAGGTGGGGATGCCAATTTATAGGCTTCCCTTCCGTATTGCACCATCTCAATCGAGGAGGTGCAATGTCGGTCACAACTTACAAATGCAAGTTGTAACCCAACTTGTATTTCTAGGTTATCTATAGATCGTAGACAACTCATTCGAAGTTATCCATGGCTCCGTGGTAATGAGTCGTCCACGGCTCCATGAACAACTTGATTACTCGCCCCCTCCTTTTTTTAATTTTTTTCCCTTTCAACTATTCCGCCTATTTATGGTCAATTTTACTACTTTATGAAAATAATTACTACTCTTCCGCAAAATCTTATCAAATACCGTATCGGTTTTCGCTAATTGCACCTTGAGTGGGATCCCGACTTGGTAAGTAGGTTGAATAGGCTTGCATAGAGAAAGTCATGAGGGAATGCTACACGTAAAATACAGTTTGTTAAATTTATAATTTAAAAAAAAAAAAAAGATCCAGCTATGATTTTTCTTCTCAATTAATTATTTGTCTTTTTAATGAAGTCAATTAAAGAATAGTATGATTGATGAATGATCATGTTATTATATGAGAGGTATTCATAAGAATATAAATATAGCAATTTTATTATTTTATTTTTGTAATTATTATAAAAGGAAACGTGATATTTTATAATTATTATGATAAATACTAAATCAAAAAGGATATGAGTAGAAACGAAACATTGCTTGCATGATGGGAAAATTCCATGCCGACATGTATCCCTTTGTTGCAAAAGAATAATATTGACCATACAAGTATCCCACCTAGACATGTAACTGCAACAGACACCCGGCAGTTTGAAGCTCGTGCCAATTTGGCTCGAGGCTTCGACATTACTGCAAACGAGAGGAAAAAATTTCGATTAAACTAAATTATTTCGAAACCAAATCAAAATAATTTGATTTCAAATCAAATTAATTTTAGTTCGATTTCGATTTTTATTTTTCTTAATTCGATTAATCGAAAACCAAATCGAATTAAGTTTAACCGAACCACTTAATCGAATGATCACCCATAGGAGTAGGAGGATAAATTTCAACATCTACTAAGTTTGATGGAGATGATACAAGTGGCGTTATGGGAGCTATAGCAAATTTGCGACTTTCATGCCGACCCCCTCACTACCTAGAAGTCGGCTTTTTCTCTCAATATCCAGCAAAAGATAATGAAGGAGATGATGATAATGATGACGAGGACTACCCTTTTTTTTTTTCTTTCTTTTTTTAGGTTTTTAAAGTTTTCGTACATTTGAACACTTTTATAGGTTTATTTGATTTAAATTTATATTATTTAAATTTTATTAAATAATATTTTATGTTATAATAAAATGTTATTTTTAGTTGTTTGCTATTACCATTAATATTAAATGACTATTAATTGATATAAAAAAATTCTCTATTTAGCGATGAATTAACCACCGAATTAGGTTCAAAAAATAAATCATTTATGACAGATATTGAAACAGTCGCTAAATAACGATGGAAATAGCCACGGGGAAAATTAGCGATTATAATTAGAGATGGAAATAAAAGAGAATAATGACGATTTTGCGAGAGATTTAAAACTTAAAAGATGATTGTTTATGTCGATTTAGTGATGGATATTCTGTTGCTAACCAATAATGGCAAGTACTTACCATCGCTAAAAAATTAACGATGACTACTTTTAATGATGAAATAATTTAATTGCAAATTCGTCGTTAAAAATTCATAGCAATGGAAAAATCTGTTGCTATTAGACAGTTATTTTGCAATGATCAATGACGAATATTCTAATGTGGAAAGGAAGATCCATAGGAAGTGAGAGTCGTTTACTGAGAGAAGTATATTTGATGTCCATACTAGACCTGTGTCAGGTGAAATTTTTGTTTCACCAACAGATTTTGACTGCAAATACTTGACTAGAACTGGTGTCGAACAAAGTTCCAATGTCGAGGAATTTGGACATATGGCTAGTGTTACGATTGATGCAAGGAATTTATCTGGCGATGGCTCAAACGGACTCAAGAGACACATCTTAATTCACCAGCAGTCAGAGACAGGATTTCTGCTTCTTCAAGTAGAGGTATCTGTTTGCATACAAGTTTTAGATCTCATGCTTAAAGGCTCTGCTTCAGCTGTGGTGCAGGATCTTCAAGTAGAAATGATCGCGGTAAGACAAATCAAAGTTGCAAGAGTTCGAGTGAATCCAGCTTGGGAAGAGCACAACAAAATGCATGGGAAGGTCCCTCAAATTGGTATTCTCCTGCGACGAATAGGTCCATTCCTTTCCAACATGGCCCACCTCCTGCAGGGTGCAATTTGGTGATGCAGTGTTTCAGTGCTCCTCCAATTTTTGATGTTAGGAATTCTGTTAGATCACAACAATATGGAGTTCTGTATAGTATACCCAATATTGGCAGGTTTTCCAGCCATAGGCAGCCATATGGGTTTCACAATCCTTTTGATGGCCTACAAACTTCTCTCTTGCTTGGTGCTATTAGGAGTGAAAGTCACATTTGGGAGACACGATTGGGACTGTATGATAGAATTCTGATCAGTGGAATAGAGAGCGAGACGGATGCGGTCATGTTCACAGGGCAAAGCTATAATGTCAGAATGGAGTTGCCTTCTACAGTCCAAAATGAGTATAATTCAGTTCATGCACCACCAGATGAAGAGGCTACACATGACCTTTCAAAGATGTTAACGGTCCATGATGCTCGTTATCGGAAAGTTTACTTCTCTAAGATTGATGTTTCCGCAGATTTCACTGATCCACAATTATATGATCAGTGCTTGACTCTAATGGATATGGAACCAAATAAACTGCCAATGAAGATTCCTCTGAGGCTCTGAGTTTCACCAGGTGGGGGTAAAATATGTCGTTCAATTTTGTGGGCTGTAGTTAACTTAATTTTGTTTTGTATATCTTTAGTTTGTGTTTGAACTGTTAACTTTAATAGCATCTCTCATTTTTCTTCCAGAAGTTCATAAAATCCAAATTGAAGATCTCTAACAATGATTCTCATGTTTCCTATTCTACTTCCATAAATTATTCTATTTTCAAGGTATCAACACCTCCAGAAGGGTATATAATTCGTGATGAGGTTTGGTAAGTATCCTTTATGCAAGCAAGTGCTCACAGATGATACCTTAGCTAATATAACTATTGAGAAACTTCCATTTTGGAATTTTCCATGTTTTCTAATGCTTTCATGGTGGTTTGTAGTCCTAAGTATTGCTCAGATAGTGCTCCAAATTTTTTATCATCTAAAGATGAATAACCTGCAGAAGGCGATGCTCCTTTACAAGAAACAGAGAGAAGAAATGCGGGCTACTCTTCTTTCCTTACTGGGTGACGTGGAAAAGGCACCATTGTGTGGTGTGGAGAACCTGGAGTTTGTTTTACTCTCTGATCGGGAGAAAAAATTAGAAGCCTTTTCACTTCCCAACCTTGATAACTCAAGGAAGTCTGTCCCAATTGTTTCAACCATGATGCAGTAGGGGCGGTTCAAAGTTCCCAGGAGAAACCAGTGCTACCAATTTCCTTGCAGGTAGCGGAAGTTCCTTTTGCTACAGTTTCTAACAAGGCAGATGAACCAGTTCCTGCTAGTAGTTTGGAAGTAGCAGAGGAACCACGTTCAACCTCATATGCAGTAGAAATTTATGTTTGTAAAGGCTTTAGTCAGGAGATGTCTGCCGGTGCTTTTTCTGACAAGGCGTCTCTACTATCAAGAACCTATTTTGGTATGCAGCTTAGGAAACCATCAATGCTAACAAATCTAGTGATGATCATTCTCTTAGTGGTACTGCAGATTTAGAATTGGATGGCACCAAGCGCGTTGACTTGCTATTTTCAGATAGGTCTTGTGTGGCAAATAGGAGGGTGATGTCTGTGTCAGTTGAGTCTGCGTTGTCAAATTTAAGCCAGATACATCTTTCTCCTGAAATTGCGCATTGAGAATATTATTATTTTCACAATTCGTTCATTTTATTTTGGAAATGATGTATGCTGCTCTTCTTTCACTTCTTTAGTTCTTTGTTTGTTTGCTGCCCTGCCATGGTTTCTGTTTCTGCATGACGAAGCATGCTTCTCAATCCAAGGAACCAGTCTTACAATTTTAAAGATTTTAACAGCGTGGCAGTCAAATTATCATGAAGAAGCATTTTTTCCGTGTAACGGGGCTTCGAAATGCTCACATTCTTGTGCTCTAGTCGTTTTCCCTACAACCGTTATTGGGAGCGTCCACTGGTGTTGAGGATGGGTAGCTTGCATCGTATGCATGGTGATCAAGGAACTGGTCTTTCTGAACTTGTACCTACTGATCTTCACTTAGTGAGGATGATAGGTCATGGAAAGAAAATCCTCGATTTTTGAGGTCTATCAATTTAGACCTTTTTTTTTTAATGGCAACTAATCCATAATCTTAGAAGTTTCTAGTTAAACTGTTGCATTATGTCCTCCGCCTATAATTCTACGAACATCATCAAATTTTTTTACACGCAAGTTATTGTTCTAAGAATAAAATGTCAACTTTGTTTACAGCATATGTATAACAAGTTCTTTTTGCAGATTGAAAGAATGGCAAATATTCATTTTTCCAATTAGAACAAGTAAAGCCATATTCTAAAATAAGTTCACTATAACTGGCATTAGAACAAACAAAGCTCCACGATGTCACTTATCACCATTGTCAACTTGTAATCGGGGAAAGGAAAATAGTAATTCAGAGTTGAATTAGACAAAGCTCCACGATGTCTCTTATCACGTTTCTGCTGTGATCCTTCCCTTGTTCCAGTAGATAGAATTGCTCCATTAACAGTGGCATCGAAACGAAGAGGAGGAAGAATATAAAAGCAACTTCTGAAGAAAGGATGTTTCTTAATTAATGCCTCCTCAGCAGAGGGCCTATTGCAAGGATTCCGAGAACAAAGCACCTGAATAAGATTGACTGCATCCTCACTAGCAGATGGTATCAAAGCAGAGAGCTGGACACTATCAAACTTCAGAAATTGGTAGTTAATAGTCCTTGCAAGATGAATTCTATCAGCCCATGAATCCATCGTCGGACTGCCTGGCGCATTACATATGCTGTAAATCTGGTTTGCTTCACTAGTATCAGGAAAAAAGAGGACGGATAGTGAATAACCCGGCCATTATAGCATCCATAGCCCACGTCAACTTTAGAAGTACAAAAATCTGATTGTAGGATCACTTCAGGCGCGTGTGGAGACATATTGTGTGTATGGTGGCATCAAATAGATTTCTCTCGCAAGACCAAAATCAGCAATCTTAACAATGTCATCAGTAACTAACAAGTTCTCTGGCTTCAGGTCACGGAAAAATATCCTTTTCTTGCGCATATAAGCAAGACCCTGAAACAACTGACGACACAAGTTCCTAACATCAGCTTCTGAGAACTTTGATGACATGATAAAGTTTCGGTACCATGTACTCGAAAAACAAAATACAAAATGCTGTTTTTGCGTGTAAGTTCCTTAAGCATCACAGTGTTTGGATGATTCAACTTCCGTGAGGACTTCACGCCTCTTAAATTCAGACATTCATCCCGTGAGTATTGTTTTCTCTTGTATATGTTTGATTTTTCTCTAAAGTTAATTAAGTAATTTTTAACTAATTTTAGTATATACTAATTCATATTATTTTCTTTGGTACATAATACATAGATTGAATTAAGGATGGATTTCGTTAAACATAAGATTTTGGATCGTATAAAAATAGACATTAATATTTTTATAGAATTATTGTTCATGCCTTATAATTAAAGTACATTAGAGAAATTAATTTAATAAATTTAGAGTAATATTGGCTAAAAAAACTCAATTATTACTTTTTTAATCTTTGTTAGTAAATTGAAATTGTTTAACTAAAAATTTTAGTTTTTCTTAATCTAATCTAATGGCAGTGATGTGACACAATTGTAACAACAAAATGACTTTTTAATTATAAAATCTACAAACACTTTCAGTTGATCATATCAATTTCCAAAAAAACCCAAAGCGTTACACAGTAACTTCATCACATTCTTTATTAATTGCCTGTTTAACACCCCTCTCCAAGTTCTTTAATTAACTTGTACCTTTCCACTTTGCACTAAAGTATCAACGAAAACTGACAACTAAGTTGATATAAACACAAGAAACCTGAAGGAATTCAAACAAGAACCAGAAATTCCCAGCTGGGTTCTTCTTGGATTGATCATTGGTAGCAATATTTTAGATCTTGGACCTAAGTTAGCGCACAGAATTCTGTAAGCAAATTGAACAGTTTCTAACTAGTCAGTACCTGTTCTCTCTATTTCTTCCTCTTTGTGAGGAAAAAAAAAAAAAAACATAACTAGCAAACTAAACAGGAAACCTTCATTGCAGCTTTTTAAATCATGTACAATCCTTGGGGTTATAGGATTTGAAATCCTTTCATAACAAGGACAGAAATAGGAGGAAGGCGTTCACCATTTTTTTTTTTTTTCAAGGGAAGGACACAGGAACCTTCCAAATTCCCATGTCATAGGACCCATGGGCAATAATGCCAAAAGGATCCATTATGTTTTTGTCCTTATGGGTTCATCAATCGTACACTTCAATATTACCCCTATATGTTTTAAGAAGTTACAGTCTTGCCCTTTAGTTCTAAATAACTATTAAAAACTCACTTTTGTTCATATATTCTATTTTATTTTATCTTATTTTTCCATAATTTTTTCTCTCTCAAATTCCCCTACATGCAATAGTTTCTTATAAAATAATTAAGAACCTCAAAAGCCGAATAAAAAAAAATGTGTTATTTAATGGCTTTGTGCAACATTGAAACTTTTTGGACACTAAAAGGATAATTTTGATAATTTTTAAACTATAGTGATAGAAGTAGAAGATTGATGAATTATAATGGCAAAAATGAAGTTTACTCAACTGAAAAACTTCTACACCTACCGGTCATGATGTTGTATATATACTTTCATGGCGGGTCAAGCCACTTTCCGTGAACTCAACAAGAAGAAGCACGACACAACACAACAACATCCATTAACCTTTCTTTCTCTGCAATAAAGAAAAACAAAAAGGGTCTCTTTCTACTGACATAGACATACATACGGTAAGTAAAAGTACGCCACTTTGTCTATAATCATCTATACTGAAATTATCATCTTTTTCTGTTTGATGATCAAGAAATTCCTTTTCTTTTTATATGACCTGCAGCAAGGATATGTAATTAAGTTGTTTTTATGTTTGAAAAGAATTTTGTTGTTATGAGATTTGATTAGATTCTTTGAGTATGACTTGATAAGTTGGTTGCTTTTTTCGTTTTGATCTGATGGTGTGGTGTAGTTGTTGATTTTAGTGTAGAAATTTGTTGTGATCTTAGTGGAGCTTTATGCTATTTAGCAAATCTCAAGACTTCTTTTTTCGGTGATTTGGTGTTAATTAGGCTTCTTTCTAAATTTTTATGTATAGCTTGTTTGGATAACCATCGAAAGGCATTCATTGCAAGAATGGTCCATTTAATTTTTCGATTTGCTGAAAATTTAGTTGTTGGTCATAAAACTTGCCCTTCCTTTGAGTTTTTTGGTGGAATTTTTGTTTCCTGTGTGATTATATTTGTGTACTGCCCCTGGGCAATATATAATCCAAGCTTTTAAAGCGTATTCAAGGGATTGATTTTGATGTGCTGAATTTTTTGAATTTTATTGTTTGCTCAAGTTGGACTATCGAGTGCCTATCTCTCATTAAGATTTTTAATTTTCTTTGCTTGCCATATGTTTGTACCATCTTCTTCAAGTGAACATATAGCTTCATGGATGATAGTCCTGGGAGGTTAAATATCGTCCCTGATCACTTTCAAGTATCAACTTCTAGTGAGGGCACTCCTCAAAGCATTACTTCATCTACTCAACAACCAATAATTGACAATTCATCCAGGTACTTATATTTTTCCTCTGAAGAAAAAAGAAACAGAGAAGAGAATGATTGGTGAACTCTGTATTAATTTTGTTTCTTCTTCTGATTTAGAATAGGTCAGTTAGTCGTTTGTGGTCTGGAAGAAAACTAAAAAGTGCTGCATTCATGCTGAATTTGTTCAGCCTACGGAGGCTGTCATGGGGTTCTAGCACTGATGGTCCGGAAAAGGTTTATTGAACAACCCTTAATGGCATGCTTATTGATTGTTTTGAAGTTTATATGGTCTCTGATCACCACCTTGTGTTTCAATTGCAGGTTGAGTTAACCGTGGCAGAGTTAGAATCACTTCGATCAGAACTTGCATATGTAGAAGAGAGGGAAGCTCACTTGAAAGCTCAGTAAGGGCAACTTGATCCTGGAATCTAATGCTAATGGGAGATTTTGCGTAGCAAATAGCAAATCTTTATTTATATAATTGACAGTGACCAGCATAATTAAACTCAGACGAATGATGAAGTTGGGTTCAGCTGTGATTAAACTTTAGTTTTGAACCTAAATATTGTTGAGAGATTGTCCTCAATCTTCCACTTTGTTTGAGAATCTCAGTTTCAAGATTTAGCAATAAAATGAACTTGTATGCACGCTGCTTTCATGATGGGTTGCATATATGCTATGTTTAATCCCTCCACTTTATTGTATATTGTCAAGTGCAGAACCATGTTTTATTGACAATGATTTATATTCAACTCTTGATTATCTCAGTGTAACAGAACAGGAAATTCATCACACTTAGTTTCTGGTTTTTGATAAGCTTAGGCAGTGCTTTTGGTTAAAGCAAAACTTTCTTTTGTGTAGCAACACTAAATTCTTTTGTCTGTACAGGCTGGAAAATGTTGATGTAATTCTGCGCTCTGCTCGATTCTCTGGTTATTTGTACATCCGAACTGTAGTGAATTTCTCCAACTTGGTTGTGTTTCTTTTCAGTTTTTACTGCAATCTTTTGTGCACCTAGCAGTTAACAGTTTTTTCCCCTTGTCTCCATCCTTTACAGAGATGGACAGCTCTACCTGGGGAGCCTCCGCCACTTGATGATACTGATGTAGATGATTGGCTTCCTCGCTTTGTTGTACTTAATGGACCGTGCATCTTCTTCTATTTGTTGTCCACAGGTAACTGATTCTTTAATTATCTCCCTAATGCCTGTTATAGTGTACCTTTGGTTTTAGCCATATGTGGTTTTGTAGAATACCTGTGATGATTTATTTGTCAAATTCTGCAAGTATGATCGGGAAGGACAACCATCAAAATAATACCCCTCCCCCATCTGCACCCTTCCCTTCCCTGTGGCCTTGTAGCATGTCCCAATTATCCATCCAGTTGTGTTTTCTTTTTCTTCCAATAAATGATGATAAATTAGAATGGAGATCTCCTAAATCCTGGAATAATATGTTCTATAGAAATTTTGAAGTTTTCAGCTTTTACCTGGTCCACTTGTGTTGGTGATGCTACTGCCACTTTTTATTTATTTGGGGTTCAAATAACATTTAAGTTTGAAATCTGATATTGTTATTCAAATCCACATTCAAACTGCTTGCTGATTGAAAGACAATTGTGCAGATTTGAGTCCTCAAGATTCCACTCTACTCTCCGATATTGTTGAAGTAGGTTCTCTGCCAAGCTTTACACGAGAAAATGATGAGACGTGGTATGCCTTTTATATCTTAACTCATCAAGGTCTTCGATATGAGTGCTCAAGTGTTTCTGAAGTCCAGGTATTTCCAGTATTGTTCATACACTTCACATCATTCAATGTGGTAGATAGTTGCCTATGTATTCTATTTTCTAATTAATTTAAACCCATACTTCCACAAGCATACACAAATGTGGGCCCACACAATAACTAGTATATACATGCACAAATATGGGCCCACACAATCACCAGTATATACATGCATGTATATGTTGTTGTTGCTTGACCTGCTACAACCTTTTGTGCAATTATCTTGGTATTGCCCTCTGTTTTTTTTTCCCCTTTATTGATTGGAGTTGATTACAGTGAACTTGAACCTTTGTCTGCACAAAATCCTTATATTGATAACAGCATGATTTCATTTTATTTGATGTCATGTCATTTCTAGTTTGTTTGATAACTGAGTGCTAAACAATTTTAGTAAGGCAGTATAGAATATGAATGGCCTACAGTTGAGCGACCTGCTTATGCTTGTTGCATACCGTTGTGTGCCAATCATGTCCACATAGTTGTCATTTAAAATATCAAATGACCCCAAATAGTCCACAGCTTCAAATGAAAAACACTTGGATGATTATATGTGAGAACTTCCTGAAGTTGATTATCTTTAGTTCATGTTCTGAAACCATTTCCTTCCACTTTAATGCCAGAATTTTTAATTTTAAGAGAAATCTTTTCTTCTTTTTATTTTTTTATTTTCGTATTGATCAATAAGTTGTAATTTTATCTTCATGTCCTCACCTCCTCCTTCCTCAGGTTGATTCATGGCTAAAGGTATTGCAAACTGACATCAAGTCGGGTTCAAAGACAAAAGTTCCAAATGGTTCTGGTGATGTGTAAAATCTGCATGTTTTTAACAGTAAGCTGTACATTGGCAAAATTTAACTGTGCACTGTATATACATGAACGTTAGATTGGTTATGATATCACTAACTCATTCTTGTGTTTCTGTACAGAATAATTGATATACTTTATTTGAGTAGTAAATGTTGTACCACTCATTTCTGATAGAAATAAATTTAACATGAAGTTACCATTCTTGCTTGTTGCCATGCCTTTGAGCTCTTTGTCCTATCTGAATGGCAAATGCTTTTTGTTCTTTTCATTTCGGCATGTTACTAAATTCCCTTTTTCTTTTGGATGCCATTTTTATTGTTAGTTCCCAGTGTAGATAATGTTGTGCTATTGCCTGCATTTGAACAAAGCAGATCAAAGGTGACCTTTTGGGTTGTTTTCTCACCCAAGAAGCAAAATATACAGGGTTTATTTTATTTCATTTTCTTTCCCATTTTCGCGTTTTCCCTTATGGCAAGAGGTCAATCATTGCTGGCCGAAGGACACATGGTTTGAGCTTGTTGGCTTGCCAATTACCAAGACTCCAAGCAAGCAGAACTTACCAATTTTCTGACTTCGACCAAACATACACATCCAGCTAAAGACGGTACGGACTATGCCAACGAATGACATGTTCTTTGAGGATTTTTCTATACTTTTTATAAGTATGTGAGGTTTCAAGCCAAGACCAGCAATCCTTGGCAGTGGTACAATCCAATCCATCTTGTAAGAGTTCATTTCAAACTTTGAGCTAAATGCTAATAGTAAATGCAGATGGGCCAACTCCAAATCATTTAAGCTGTCTTTAAAAGGCACCATGCTCCTTTTAAAAAGTAAGCATCTTCACTCTTTAATGAAAAAGTAGGTTTCTAGTGTATTTTAAATGTTTTTTTGTTCTAATAAATTATCTTTAACGAAGTTTTTTTAGGCATTCCGTTAGCATTACCCAGCCACGACCTAGTATCAAAAGAAAATTGTAATTTGGAAATAATCAAACCATACATAATCCAAAATCCTAACATATATGTATATGGTGAAGCACATCCTCAAATCTAGATTATGGGTTCGATCCCTTTTGTTCGATCAAAAGGCAAAACCTATGCATGCCACCCGATAATATATCGCTATTTTCCATTTTTCTCCTTTTTCAGTAATGTACATGCTCCAAGAAAATGAGGCACGTGCTGCAAGCGTAACTAAGATACGAGATCAACTTTATCTTCATAGTTCCGTATACATTCAGCATACGATTTCTCTTTAGTTTCTTCCTTATCATTCTGTTTTTTTTTTTTTTTCTTCTTCTTCCTTCTCTCTCTCTGAACAACCCTAATCGTTGTGTTGAAAGATTATATAACGCAACCTTTTGATTCTGTGTTCAGATGGAATGCATTTTCATTGCAATCAAAGCTGATGGGGTTCGGAGAGGTACTGGTAGCCTGGTTAAGATAAATAACTTAATTAATAACCAATATAATTTTAATTTTGAAGCCTACATTGAGAGACAATCAACATCTAGGTTTTTTTTTTTTGGCAAATAAAGATAGTGCTTCCATCCAATGAATATTTAATTGCTCAAAAAACATATTTCAAAAAGGTAAAAATAATTCTTTTGTTATGAAATAATAAATGTCCATCATAATGTTCATCTACTTTTTATATCTCAATTACTCATGATTCTTAATATGATTCAATTCATCATTCAATATGAAAAATTGAAAAGGTGATACAATTGATTATTCATAGTCTCTTCCAATTTTCTTCTCAAACTTGAAGCGTATAAATAGGCTTGATTGTTCATTAGTTGGTGTAAAGGCATTTTGTAGAGATTGTGAGAATTGTTTAGAGTTGTTATCTCTTATATTCTCTTTATAGTGAAATCATTTCTTCATCATTTTTCTCTTCAATTCTCCTATTATTTCTATTTCTTTTACAACACATTATCAACACGAAGCTCTAGCCAATCGAGACAATAGACAATGAGGTATGTATCCTCCAAAAGACTTAATCAATTATTTCAACCATTAGATTTTTTCTACACAAGTGCTCTAATAAAAGATCTAAATTATTTAGATCATTAAGATGTATATATCTAATTTATTATGTACTTTAAATATAATGATATATAGAATATACATTTGAAAAACTTAAATGATTTAATATATAAAATCTAATGATTCAATGTATGTTGTTTGAAAAGCTTTAATTTTATTATTATGTTTGTTCTTATTTTCTAATATTATTATTATATATTACATTATAAAATTTTTATCATATCAAACCTCATAAATCTGATTTTGTAGCTCTTGATATTTCGAATAAAAATTATTGATTATGAGTGCTTGATTCTAAAAAAATATTCTCTACTTTTTATGTCTTGAATATGCTCCTGCAGTAGCAATATCGAGAAAATGAATTTAAGAAATATTCGAATCGATTTCATATTTACTTATTCCTAAATAAAATGATAAGCTATTGATGAAAAGAAATAAATCTCATCCCATTGGATATACTCCATTCCCCGAGGTGAATGTAACAATTTATAATAATTTTAGACATGAACAAAGATGTGGTCATAGCCATGGACGCGATCGAAATAATTATTATTATAATTATGATTATCATAATATTACATGTCACCACCGAAGTGGATAACTATATAAAAAAATAATGAAAATAGATAAAGTCGACATTCGAAAATGAATGTTATAGATATTATATAAATGGATATTGGTCGTGTACCTGTTGTACACTAAAGCACCTCATTAAGCCTTGTCAAACCTCGTTGAAAAAGAAAAAAATATATAAAAAACTAATTTTATATATCAAAATGGAGGTAATTGAAATTAATAACTTGTTAGCTTTTTTATTTATAAATAAGATGTTTTATATTTTCTTATAATTGCATAGAGATTATGATAAATTTATTTTACTATATATTTATTTATTTATTTTATATTTATTTATTTATTTGATTATTTTATGTTAATATTGTATATGATAATATCAATGTAATAAAAAGCTCCGGAAGAGCGACTATATTATTATCTAAAGAGATAAATTTTGAAGGCTCTAGAAGAGTGATTATATTATGACTTGAAGAGATAAATTTTTGAAGCTCTAGAAGAGTGAATATATTATTACTTTAAGAGATAAATTTTAAAGGCTCTAGAAGAGTCGATATATTATTACTTGAAGTGACATAATTTAAAGGCTCCGGAAGAGCAAATATATTATTATCTAAAAGGATAAATTTATTATAAATGATGTACTATTCTCTTCAAAGTCTCATAGAAATTTATTGAGTTTCAAAGATATTCATTTAAATTGATATCATATCAAGATAGCAAATATCAATACTTTTATATTATAATCATTTTATCGGATAGAAAATATGTATTGAAAATTTATCCTTTTTCTCTTTTAGTATTTATTATAAATATTGGAATGATTGAAACAAATGTTATATAAACTAGAAGTTTAATAATTCAAATATTTTTATTATGTGGCATGATTAGTTGTGTTATCTTGGATCTTTCATGATGCGAAAAAATTATTAAAAAATTCATGTGAATATCTATCTAAGAGCCGAAGATTCTTCAATTTAATTAATTTTCATGTTCTATATATTGTCAAGGTAAATTGATGATTAAGCCATCACCAAGTAAAATTGAGATTGAATCTCTAGTATTTTTAGAATGTATTCAAGGTGATATATGTGGATCAATTCATCCACCATATGGATCATTTAAAATATTTTAAGATTTTAATAAATACATCCACAAGATGATCACATATATGCTTATTATCTATTCGAAATCCAACGTTTTCAAGATTCTTAGCAAATAATTTAACTTCGAGCATAATTTTCAGATTATGCCATCAAAATAAGTCACCTTGATAATGCTCGTGAATTTATTTCTCAAGCATTGAATTATTATTGATTGACTAGTAGAATAAAGGTTGAATAGCTCGTTGCTCATATTCATACCGAAAAAGGTTTAGCAAAAATCATTTATCAAAAGGCTTCAATTGATAGCTAAATCATTATTTAAAAATAAAACTCTCGTTTATGTCCGGGAACATGCAATCTTACATGCAGTAACACTTGCACCGGACCCATAAGTTATCAAAAATTCTCTCCTCTTCAATTGACTTATGGTCATGAGCCAAATATTTTTTTATTTAAGAATTTTTAGTATTGCAGAGTGTGTATCCGTAGTATTCCTTCATAACGAAATAAAATGGGTACTTAAAGGAGCTTGGGAATATATATCGGATTTGAATCCTTTTTCGATAATTAAATATCTTAAATCATGAATAATTGATATTTTTATAGCTTGATTTATCGACTCGTCATTTTGATGAAATAGTTTTTTTAATTTTAAGGGGAGAGAATAAACAAAATAAGTAGTTGAAAATATTGAAAAAAAAGATTACATAGAATACTCTATCTTTATATCATTTTGGTGCAAAACAATGTGAACTAGAAGTTCAAAAGATAATTCATTTACAAGATATTACAAACCAACTGCTAGATACATTCTCATATCCAAAAGAGTAACTAAAATGCATGTCCTTGTTATTAGAATTGATGTCCTAAAGGGATAGCCTATTAATGATATAGCTAATGAATCTAAAGCACGCCCGAAACGTGAAAGACCAATCGGTTCCAAAGATAAAACTATCCAAAAGAAAAGGATAAGATGAAATATAAATGATGTAAATATTCATAAAACAGTCCAAGATATTTCTAATAATAGGCTTCTAGAAGAAGCCTAAATGCTTGAGAAAAATCAAGAGATTTTGATAAATTATATCAATACAGGGAGAAAATAGGATAAAAAAAAATTTATTGATAAGATTTTTATACGTAATGTTGCAATTGATATTTTGAATGAAAATAAAGAACCCGAGCTAAAATTTATTGAAGAATATTGACATAAAGATGATTGATCTAAATGAAAAGAGCAATCCAAGTAGAATTATGTTCTCTTATAAAAAAAAAA